ATTTCTGGTGTCCTGTTGCCACTTTCTGGGTCCCCTTTCACTCCTGGCTGATGCCATAGGAATCACTCACATAATATTACAGAAAAGTCACAAGAATATGGACCAGTCTGGTATAGCAGTCTTTTCTGCTCCACTAACAAAGCATCAATGTAGCTGGTCCCTCTCTCATCCTCTGTATGTCCTTGGCTGGAGTCTGAGCTAGTCCATTGTATGATACCATGTTATTTGTTCCTTGTAAGCATTTCCTGATACTTTCTTCCTTGGGACATACTGATGTGCAGCACATCTACTGGCTCAATAGCTACCATTTCCTATTTGGCTGTGAATACCAGGATTTAGCAAAGCACCTAGGCACTGGTATTCTGATAGATGCTTGATGAATGTATGATTATAGTAATACAGCCTAAGTAAAAAAGATGATGAGTTTTTTAATAATCCAAAAAATGTTCGATATTGGGCTATCTACATAAAGACTTTCAGAAATTGGTGTCTGTGAGATAATTTAACATTTGGCTAAAACATTTATCTGTCTCCCTAACTAGAATTAGCTTCAAAAGGACAAAGTTTTTTTTTTTTTTTCCTTTTTAGCAAAGTCTATAATAATGCATGGAACATATAACAATATTTAATAAATATTTAATGAATAAAGAAGCCCTATTTTAATTTTTAAATTTAATCAGCAAATACCTTCCATGATGAAATATTAATACAATTTTTCCTCTTCTTGTGTTGCCCTTTAAGAATTATTTTGTTACATTTTTAATTTTAATCCATAAATTGCACTATTTTCCTGAAGGCATTTGGATTGCAAACAAAATAACTTCATATAAATATTTTAAAATTTGGCATTGTGACATCAATTCAATGAAATAAATCCTTAATGAGTACCTGTTAATTTCAAAGAACCAAGCAAGACACTGTGCCTGACCTAAGGACTTACATTCTTGTAGAAGAGACCAGATGTGTATACATGCAACAACAGTAACAGAAAAATTCAGAAGCTAGGCTGGGAGACTACCAAGAAGCCAATAATTCTTCTATTTGACACAGCTGTAGGATTATCATGGAAAATTTGCATCTGTATCTTGGCTGAGAAACTTAGAGAACACCATTCTACACTTTAGAGGGGGTGTGGGTTCTCTATGTGATATGACTTGGTTTAAGAGTAGGGTGTGTGAGGGTTGAGAGCAGAAGGTAAATATCTAAGAGAAGATGCTGTAATGGCTAACATTTCTCCTGCAGGCAGACAGAAATCTCCAAAGGTATCTGAGCAGGGGAATCTGAAAGCACAATATTAAGATAAATATGAGGAAATCTTTGCTTGGGAGACAGGGAGATGAGTTGGCAGGTTGTGATATCAGTCCAGGTGAGAGGTAATGATGGCCTAAACTAGGGCAGTGGCAATGGGAATAGGAAACATGAAATAGACATAAAGATGAATCGTGCCTACTAGGTAGGAATTAGCTGTTGGATGAAAAACACCAGCCAAAATAATTAAAGATAATCATTTTCCTTCTTTAACAATAGAAAAGGACATGCTGTATGAAATCCCTTGTTTAATAAAGGGGATTTTTTTCCAAAAAAGTATTTAAGTAAAATTCGTCAAAATACTAATCCTTTGAAAATAATACATAGGGATGAAATCCATGTTCTCTATGCAGCTTTGATTTGAGAGTCTGTGTCCATAGATAACCTAAGCCACCATCAGCTCTCCCCAAGGTTCTGTAATAGAACCACTGGCTTCTGACTCTTGTCTTCATCTGTCTGACTGTGACCAAAATGATCTTTGAAATATACAAATCTGAGTATGTTACCACTGCTTAAAACTTTCAAAGGTTTTCCATTGCTCTTGGAATCCTGGAATCACTATTTACCTGCCACTCCCACCTCTTGATTTGCATATGTATCTAGCTCTCCTTCTCATTCCCTGCCCCCTCACATTTCCTGTTCCACACAAAGGCAATAGCTTACTGCCTGCCCCTTCTCCCTAGGATTGCCCATAGACTCTGCAACTCCCAGTGTACTGACCAACTCCAACTTTTCTTTGGGGCTCACTATAAATTCTCTAACATGCTGGTCTCTTCAAGCTCTCTGAACTTTCCTTCCTCACACTACTTAACTGTCTATCTCCCTGCTACAATTTGTAAGTGCTAACAAGCCTCAGGCCAGGCATGCATATTCACGGCTGCATCTATCTGTTATCCAGCAGAACCAGTCCTACATAGCAGAAGATCAATAAACATTTATTGAATAAACAACAGTGGTTAGTTAAATTTCTCTGGAGCTCATTTTACTCATCTATAAGATCAGGGTATTGATCTTTAGGATTTCTCTTAGCCATACAATTTTCTATAAGTAAACTTTGTAACTAAACACAACAGAATTCAGCATCCCAAGTCTGAATCAGTACCCCATTATAATAAAAAGAAAGAATTTATATTTATAAATATAATTTTAAATTGGTAGCCAGCAAATTAATAACAATTCTGGAAATAAGTTTTTTTTTTTTCTTCAGTGTATTTCCTCATTCTATAAATGCTTACTTGTTCATTTACCTTAAACAGTGAGGTATAAACAATGGGAAACAGAGGGAAATAAACAAAAACTGAAAGTTGAATAAACTTCCTACGAGTGTCAGCTTCCTCTTCCCCAGAATCCCTTATATACTCATATACATATACATATGAATAACTGACTTAAATCCCTTGATCTGAAAATAAAAAAAAAAAAACAACTTTAAACCTAGTGACAATGTTACAGAGCTAGGACCTTCCAAGAAACTGAGGCACAATGAAGATCCCCTCTTTGAACTCTGATTCTTGTGATCAAATCGAAAAGATTTCAGACCTGTCGCTAGAGTAACAGGAATGAGTTCATTGAAGGGATAGGGAGAGAGGACACTCAAAGGAGAGAGGAGATCTTCTCAGAAGAGGAGAGAACCATGTGCCTCTCCTGCACTTCAGTTTAATTGGAGATCCTAGAGAAATTTCCAGAGTCCTGTCCAGGTCCACCTCTTCACTCCAGACTAAGAGCAGGGTGTCAAATTTTCAAGTCCCCACTGTCATGGCAACTCCAGGTCACCTTGGCCCATGCTGACCTGTTCTAATTGGATTCTTAACCATACATTCTTACAGATTTCATGAAGAGGAACTATCCTTATCATCCCAGAGTTTTAGGATCTGGTTACAAAAGCTTCTTCCTTCAGGGTAACTTGGATTACTCTTATCAACATTATTTTGGGCCTATATTTCTCCTTTAGTGAATAGTTTACTAAGGAATATAACATTCTGTCCATTGAGGCCAGGCAGGGCTGCAGGTAAATTGCTTCTTGAAAAAGAAAACCTGTGGGAGTCAGCATGGTGGGCCTAGTTTATAGAATTATTCTCAACCTTAGGTTCCCACCATCCTCATCTATCCATGCCCTAAGAACATTCTCAGCTTTTTTAAAACAATAAAAATTAGTAGTGTAGTTAAATATTGTTGCAATTTGCTAGTATTATTGAGAATATATTTAACTGCTTATGTTTCTTATTTTTGAAAAAAAATCTTCCAATTTCAGTTAAGTCGAGAGTTAGCTAAAGCTTCAAGAATCATCTTCTAAGATTTTATTTCCTCATAAAATATTTGTTCTTCTGATCTCTAGAATCTGTCCACTATTTTTTATTTTTATATTATAAAAAGAGGAAGAGACTAAAGCAAATAATAATAATAATAATAATAATAATAATAATAATAATTGTCCTTGTTTTCTGGGGTGAAAATGTCTCAGATTCCTTGTGTAAAACAAAACTAATTGATACATTGGTGAAGCCACTGGTCAAGAAAGAAACTGTCCTATTTATTCCTTTACCTGTCCATTCATCAGAACAGGTATGTTTACATGTAGCTAATCCTTGAATTGATTTATTAAGCCGAGTTTCCAAGTTAAAAATAAAGAGGTCCTGAGGAGATAATTGCAGGAATACAAATCAGGAGAGACAACTTTGAAAGAATAGTAATTTTGCTTCTTGAAACTGACCTTAAATCCCTAAGAGGAGAACAGAACAGCTTTAAGCAACCTTTTCTCTCTATTCAGAAGTAATCATGAATTAATCGTGCAGTTTAGCTGAACTTTGCTTTTCCATGTATCCTAGGAGAAGATCTGTGACAGACGGGGAATTTTTGTTGCGTAAACTCAGTATCTGGAGATAGGGCTTTTCATTGAGTCCATGTAGTGTTAAGAACTAATTCCCAAAACAAAGAAATAAGAAAAAGTGAACCAAATAATTTACCAACAAAAGGAAGAGAGAAAATACAATGTTTGAAAATCCTTATTTTGATAATTTGGTTTGAAATTATCCCAAAGAAAGATGCTTGATGACATCAGAAATCTGATTATAAAATACAATCTTGCTCATTAATGAAGATGTATAAGGCTATGGCCTGTATGATTTTATTAGCTGATCTGATTATAAAAGTGCTTAGTACAGTTATATCTATTTTTGGTTATCAGCTAGACTATACAGTTCTAACAAAGTGGGGAGCTGAGCATTTGCTGATAAATTGTTAATACTGCTAGCTACAAATGTTGATAGTAAAAATTATAGTAGTCTCAAATATGATACTCCCATACATATCTTAGCTAGCTAATATGGACCTTATAATGTTCATTCTATAGCTTCTTTCATTTAATCTTGCCATTTTTATTTATGCTGTCAATAGGTGTTAATCGAGCACATCTATCAGTCTTGGTACTGCTCTTGGCACTGAGTATAGAACTGAGGAGCAGAACAGTAAACAATCAAAAATGCAATCCCTAATCTCAACAATCTTAATTTAGTTTTAAAACTATTTAAAATTAGAAAAAGCATGAGTGGCATCAAGTTCCCTCATCTAATATTTTTAGTCAAAAAAGAGTGAATAACAGTCTACAAGGGAATGGACTTCCCCCAAATTATGGACAGAGGCCTAGGAGATACCTCAAAGTGTCTTTTATTCAATTTGCTTACTGTTTTGAACAGGAAAAAAACATTATGCATCAAAATGTACAATTATGATGACTAAGAAAATACTAAGGACTTCATTCCCAGGATATCTTAGCACATGTAAGTATCCATTTGCTTTAACTTAGTATATTTTGGTACATCCATCCATTCTTCCCCAAAACTTTTGACTAGCACCTTCTTAATGTGTCAGACCCTACAGTAAGTGCTGGAAATCTGTAGATTTGACCTCAAACAGCTCATTTGTTTAGAACTTGCAGGAACTAAGCTATGTGTAGTGTTACCTTATAAGTGATCATGTGCTTAAGACTTTTAAAAATTCAAAAGGTACTTGGTAGACAGAGTGGGAGCCATATTTTCTGGTGATCTATTTCCTGAGGCTAGATAAACCTTTGTGTAATTATGAAAGCATATCTCAGCCATGTTGTTTTACTTATTTTTCTTGCAGTACTATGAATTCAACCCAGGGTGCTCTACCACTGAGCTACACCCCCAGTCCTTTTTACTTTTTATTTTGAGATAGGATCTCAGTAAATTGCTAGTGCTGACCTCTAACTTGTGATTCTCCCTGCCTCAGCTTTCCAAATTGCTGGGATTACAGGCATCTGCCACCATACCCAACTTTCTTAAACAATTAAAAAGAAAAAAAAGTACTGAATCACATGACACTGGAAAACATAGGTGAGACCAATCTAAATTTTGCAGAATAAAAAGCATATTTTGCCCATGTTATTCTGAAATTAATTATAAAATATATTTTAAATGACAAAAAATAAAACCAATCAATAAGTCATATAAGGCTAGAAAAGACCATTAGCTAGTAAATTGATTTACTATCTACAATAATTCCTCCATAAAACATAATAGGTACTTTCACAGTTTAATGTTTTTGCAATTGAGATAAAATTCTATTTATTTGTGCATTTTATGTAATAACATTTTCTCCTCAAAATATACTCATATTCATGGCAAGTATTACAACTAGCTGTTTCAGAATTAAGGAAATATTAGTTTCAAGCAGACTATCTTATAAACTATTTTTCAAAAATAATTGAGAATATTTTAACCAAATTTAATTGTGTTGCCTTTTGCTTCCTTTTTTGATATATTTTTAAAATCCAAAATCATATGCTTTGAAATAAAATCTTATTATGGCAAAGAGGTTATCTTGCAATACCTTTATTATTCCTTCTTGATAAAAAAATGTATAGCAGTTAATGAAACCTTTCTTATTTTTATTTTTTGGCAGTACTGAGGATTGAACCTAGGGGCACACTACCATGAGCTATACCCTCAGCCCTTTTTTATTTTGAATCAGGGTCTGGCTTCCAGGCTATCCTGGAATTTGAAATCCTTCCTCCTTCAGACTCCCTCCAGAGTAACAGGGATTAAAGGTACGTGCACTGCACCTGGCTATATGTGTTCCTAGCAGCAAGTCATGTCTTGGTCATTTCTGTGCTGCTGAAGTATATTATACTTCAAAAATAATAATTGTTCAGTGAATAAATAAAATAATGGAGGAGGGAAAAGAGGAATAAAGACCTTGAACACAATGAGTACTCAACAAATATTTGTTGAATTATAATGAGCTGCTGACTTGATTGACACAGTATATTACCATAGCTCAGTGATAAGTTTTGATATTTCTGTAGTGTTTACTTTTGTGTCACCATGAGGAAATTAATAAATTTTAATGATGAAATTTTATTTTAATATTTGGTTTCATGTATATCTAAATTCTGTTTTTAAGAGTTTTGCTCTGTCAGTCATTGGTTCAAATATTCCTCTCATGTACTCAAATATTCTTAGCACATTGTGTGCTATGCTGTGTCTCCTGAGTTACTAGCTTTTATTTTAGAGATGAATTTCTGAAGCTATGAACTTCATATGAAACAACCTTTTTCAAGTGATTATTTTCTAAATATATTCTAATAGCTTATTTTTGTATCCTTGCCTTTGTACTTCGGTATCAGCATATCTAACCCCAAATACATATGGATGCCTCCAAACATAAGATTTGTTTCTAAAGTAAACATCCATTCAGATATTCTGCAGTAGTTTCTAATTTCTGTTATAGCTTTTGCCCTCATAAGTAACAAATTAAGTTCAAAAGATGCACCAAAATTTGGGCCAGTATAAAAATCTATGTCTAATGCAGTAGATAAAAGTAAAATAGTATGTATTTGCAAATGCTCAATAACCTTTCCTAGAAATTTAAAATGTACTTATAATCCATCTACTATCCAATAACAAAGATAATTTTTACCAACAAGATCACTTGGAATATAAATGTAATATGGAAGGATACAGGATCTCAGACCAAGGAATGGAATACAAAAAAAATCCAGATAAGTAGTCAGTATAGTATCAACCTTATAATATTTTTCAGATCAAAGAAGATAATATAAATATATAGTTACCTACTAGAGTCTGGCACTTGGTAGGTGCTTACCAAATGATAACAAGTATCAGGGCTAGGCATTTGGCTCAGTGGTAGAGTGCTTTCCTAGCATGTACTAGACCCTAGGTTTGAATGCCAGCACCATGAAAATATATATATTATATATAAATGTTAATCAGTAGTGGACAATGAGGTAAGAAGCAAACCAAAAGAACATGGTATCATGAAAACAAAGAGATGAACACTTATTTCAAAATAAGATAATACTAACTGTAATGATGCTTCTGGGAGGGCAAATTAGGTCAGAAAATTATTAGTACAATGTGCTTAATATCTTGATTCCCATCCCACCCAAAAGTTGATGGGATCAATGTGTTGAACACCTTGAATGACTAAAATAAGGAGAAAGAAAATTGAAGAGACTGAGAATAAAACTGTTTTTGAGGAATTAAAAAATGAAAAATCTATACAAATAAGGGCTAGTCACTAAGATTGGCTAGGAGATGGGATATCCTAAGGGGGAACATTGGACAAAAGACTTCACACATATTTCTTATATTCTACTGAATTACATTTCTTATAATTCCTTGGAGATTAGATTGAACAATCATTATTAAGTTCAGATCATAAATTAAGGAAAGATCAAAAGGCCATATAGACCTTAAGAAATTTATAACATTTTAGGCTGAGAGTATAAGTCCATGCCCATGTGGAGTTTATTATCTAGTTGGAGCGACAGATTCAAATGTCTCCAATGTAAATTTGCAACTATGGCACATGATAATAAGAAGTGGTATACAATGTTGTGGGAGGGTTTAATATCATAGAAGTCAGGGTTCCATAAAAAAACGACAACTGGAGGATTAGAGTTAACTAAGAGAAGATGGGAAGAAATCAAGTTTTATGAAGAAGGATGGACAGCAGCAGAGTAATTTTAAAGAAGAGAGTATGGCACCTGCAAGGAGCTGAAGAGTCAGTGTCCAGAACACTGAAAATGGAAATGGTATATGTGTTGGGGGTTTTCCTTATCCTAAGACCAATGAGAAATCATTTAAGTACAAGAGGGAGTGGATCATTTATTCATTTACTTAAAGAAAAAATAATGCTCATGAGAATGTGGAAAATGGAGTGGGCTGAGGGATCAAAATGGATACAGGTGGACCAATTAGGCGATTTTTGCAAGTGTTTAGAAGACAGAAAATGGTAGCATAAACCGAGTTGGCATATTTAGAAATAATGACAAGTGAATGATTTAAAGAAAATTTTTAGTGGTTAAAAACTGAAAGGACTTGATGTATGGGTTATGGATATTAGATATCATCTTGACCTTTCCACAGCTGTTCAGAATATACAAAATGAATGAATCAAGCAAAATCAATCAATAAGCTTTTTCCCTGCTTTTACACAAAGTTCAAAATTATTTATGCATTAAAAGAAGAGATCAGATTCTAGACATTGTTTATCTCAATTGTTTTTGACACTCTAAAAAGAAACAAGCCATTGTTGATGACTATCTATTGTGTCCTAGGGATTTGGGAACAAAGAGTGCATTCAGAAGCTACAGGAGGCTCATCCAAAGAAATGACAAAATCATCTCTACCCAGTACAGCCTGCACAACTCTGGTGCAAACAGATGCAGGTTACATTTGGCCAGGAAGCCCCAAGAGGCTTCACCCACACATTCGAAAAATTTGTATACTCATCTTAACACACAAGTGCTAGTAAACCCAAAGTCAGGCACAGTAGTAATTTCATTCTTAATTGAGCATCCTAGAACTAAGGGGCAGTGATAGCTTAGCCTTGGGAATATCTGGCCACCATCATGTAAATCAATGAGGTTGACTTGAACACATTATGAACTTTCTTTCTCAACTTTCTGGGAATGATAACTAAAATAATTTCAGTCTTAGAATACAAGGGTTTCATTCTAGGTTTCATTGATTGTGGTAGCTGTGAAAGTCTGCTTAGAAAGATACATTTTTCATTAGTCAAACTTTACCTGATAAGAGGAAATCTAAGTTTTTTTTCATTGTTTTCTTCAGCTGTTAAACTGAATATATTTGATAGAGAAAACATGAGGTGATGAGCACCACACTTGGTGTGGGAAGAGCATGCTATGAATCCCAATTCTGTCACTTACAAGCTCCTCTCCTGAAAGATGCATGTTGCTCAGATCAGGGAAAGTAATAAATATAAAAATACCTACTAGGGTCTGGCCTTTGGGAGGTTCTCATTAAATGTTAACTGAAACTCACCAATGCTGAACCAAGTCTGTACCTAGAGTAATATCTATTGACATAAATAAATTTCTTATTCTTTGCTCAAATAGTAATATCCCATAATCACACTAACTCAACTCTTTTCATAATTCCCATGTGGATATTAAAATACAACTATCAATCAATGTTTTACTTATGTCTATATAATTTTATAGACTACATTTCATAGTGGGATCTATTAATCATGTTCTATTCCTTATGTTTATGTAGATCATGTGTTCTAAAGTTATGAAAATGAAAATTTCATATGAATTGCCATTTGGTATAAAGAAAAACAATGCAGAAAATTTCCTGGCTTCTTTTATGCTGAATTGCTGTCGCTTTAATAACTTCTGCACTGCAGTGATTATGAAACTAATGCGTATTTTTAAATGTTAACTCAGAGTGTCAGACGTTTACTTATATTCGGCAAAATCTGAAGA